AACCCCCTCCCCCCCCCTCCCCCCGGCCCCGAAGGCGTGAATGCTACCGTGCCATCTTCCCCATCTTTCCCTCATATCAACCTATTGCGAGTCACGTTCAAGCCTCAATCTCCATCGCCCGCCCCAAGTCACATCAGACCGGGAAACGTCCGGCGCTGTCATCATGGCCCGGCCGGAGAAGCTTGCGCCTGTGTGGGATGATCTTGATAGGTGAGCTTCGTCGTCCGTCCACTTTGATGCGCAAATGCTACCCAGGATCCGACTAACGAATGTTCGTTTGCATGATGCAGGACAATGGTGGGTCGCTTTCGTCAACGCGCTGCAAGTGCACTAGCTAACGGTGCGTTCAATGTCGCAAAAGGGTCAACTGTTCATGATGGGCTTTGATGGCACGTCAATAACCCCCCACATCAGGACGCTGATCGAGGATCATCATGTCGGCAGCTTACTGCTGACTGCGAAAAACCTCAAATGTGAGGCATGCCCATGACAATTGGTCTCGGTACCATGACACGTGACTTGACATAATGATTAACAAGACACAGCTGCTGAAGAGACGACCAAGCTCTGCTACGAGCTGCAAAAGATTGCTCACGATGCTGGCCACCCGGTTCCTCTGGCCATAGGCATAGACCAGGAGAATGGCGGTGTCAACAGCCTCTTCGATGAGATTTACATCCGACAGTACCCCAGCACCATGGGCATGGCAGCAACGGGGTCAACCGATCTCGCATTCGAGGTAGCAAAGTCCACTGCACAGGAGATTGCTGCCTGTGGCATCAACTGGATCTTTGGGCCATGTCTCGATGTACTTACTAATGCCCGCAATCAACCTCTTGGTGTCCGTACGGCTGGTGACGACCCTCAGGAGGTGTCCGCGTTTGGATGTGCCTTTATGCAGGGTTATAAAGAAGCCGGTGTAGTAACTCTTGGGAAGCACTTTCCATCATATGGAAACCTCGAGTTCTTGGGATCCACCCTGGACGTGCCAATAATCACGGAATCTCTAGAACAGCTCAGTCTTAGCGCCCTTGTACCATTCAAGAAGGCCATCGAGAGAGGGCTTGATTCTATGATGGTCGGCGGATGTGCCATGTCTTCGGCTGGTCTAAACGCCATGCACGCCTGTCTGTCCGAACAGGTCGTCGACGAGCTGCTTCGAAAAGACCTAAAGTTTGACGGCGTCGTGGTCTCGGAATGTCTGGAGATGGATGCCCTCAGTCACAATATTGGGGTAGGTGGCGGTACGGTCATGGCGGTGAATGCTGGCTGCGACGTTGTCTTGCTATGCCGTTCGTTTTCACTACAGCAAGAAGGCCTCAAAGGCCTAAAGACCGGTATCGAAAGCGAAATGGTGTCCAGGGACAGAATATTCAACTCCCTTCGACGCGTGTTGGAAATGAAGAAGAAATGCACGTCGTGGGAGAAAGCGTTGAACCCCCCCGGAATCAGCTACTTGGACACCCTCCAACCTTCGCATACCGCCCTGTCTACAAAGGCTTACAACAGCTCTATAACGGTCGTACGCGATAAGAACAGGTTGCTACCATTAACGAATATCTGGGAAGCGAGGAAGAGCTTCTTTTGCTGACTCCACTTGTCAAGCCTCTAGCTGCATCTGCTGCGTCGCGGGCATTGTCAGATGCTGCCAGTGGTGCAGCCAGTCATTCGCCAGAGCCCGCTGCGTGGGAGAGGAGTTCATCTGTAATGAGTGGTGAACGGGTCTTTAGGGAATTGGGACGTTCATTGGCGAGGCAACGCAATGGCCGGGTTCTACATACATCGTACACTGCTAATGGAGTTCGGCCAGTTCACGAAAATCTCATCAATCGAGCGAGTGCCATCATCGTACTGACCGCCGATGCAAATCGTAACCTTTACCAGAGCGGTTTCACCAAACACGTATCCATGATCTGCAACATGCAGTACACGACTGGTGGCGAGCGACGTGAGAAGCCTCTGATAGTTGTAGCGGTGAGCTCACCGTACGACTTTGCCATGGATACGTCTATTGGTACTTACATCTGTACCTACGACTTCACGGAGACAGCACTCAACTCTTTGGTAAGAGTACTATATGGCGAGCTCACTCCAACTGGCACTTTACCAGGGACGATAAGCAAGAGCCAGAAATTGCACCCGTCAAGGCAACATTGGTTGGTCGAGATCTTCAACGAGGATCGAGACGCAAACGCTCTTGACAATCTCATCGCGGCAGTCGTGGCCAGCACGATACCAAGCCAGAGATCGGAGCTGTCAAGCGCAACCTCCAACTCGTTTGTTCTGCACCACACGGAAGTGGAAGAGTCACATTTTGTTGTGAGAAATAGCAGTACGCAAGCTCTGTACGGCTTCGTCGCAACTTACTTCTTCAAGTCGACCGGTACCGGGGTCATTGCAGCGTTATTCGTCGATCCGGCTCGGAGGAAGCTTTCCATCGGCCACTCGTTGCACAATCGAGCGATACGGACACTGCTACAAAAAGAAGGCATCAAAAGATTCCAGCTAGGATCTCGCCTGCCTAGTGTGTATTTGGGCATACCAACTGGGCATGGCAATGAGCGAAAACGCCTGCGCTCGTGGTTTGCGGGCCTGGGGTGGGGAGCAGCACTATCTCGTCCGGTGTGCAATATGGTTGCCCGTAATTTACAGAGCTGGAACCCGCCCGATGGCATGGCCAAAAGCCTTGCAAGCGCGGGTGCACAGTTTGATCTTGTCTATGGATGGGACTATGCCGGACCCATACTGGACCATATCAAGACCAGCAACCGCCAAGGTTTGGCTGAGGTGTACAAACTTGCCCTTTCCGATCCCTCTGCGTGCGGCATCATCCGTGCCAAACGGCCAGAAGATGGGGCGCTCGTGGGCACCGTGGTCCTCTACAACCACCATTCGCGACTTTCGGATTACATACCGCCTCTCAAGGACCTCAACGAGGCGGCAGGCGGCATCTCTTCGCCCGTCATCTCGCCCAGCGTTGGAGAATACTCGACGCTCCTGCAGGGCTTGATTCTCCTCGGGATGCGGCAGATCAAACAGCAGGGTTGCAACGCCTGCTTGCTAGACTATGTACGTGCTTGCCGGCCTTGATTGCCAGTACTTGCTAACGTTGGACAGATGGACGGAGACGGGAATTTTGACGGGTTTTCTGCAATGGGGTTTGACGTTATGCACAACTTTGAAGAAGTCAGTTGTGATGCGGCGACTTGGACCATGATACCACCTGCTTGAAGCGGGATGGACGGGCGTTTGGGATCTCCATTATACTACAGTGCTGGGGTCGAGGGCCGGGGTTCGGGGCAATGACAGTTTGAATGGGACATGACAAAGGCAGGCCGACGGAGGAGTGTAGGCGCATCCATCCGTCCGTATTTCCGTATAGTTGTTTGAAATTTGTGGACGGGACGGGGTTGGTCAGTGCATGGAGTGGAAGATTTGCCATAGATTGATAATAATAGAAGTGGAGGAGATGTTTGCAATCAAGGGCTGAAACGCGCAGATATTGCATGGCTTGGTTAAGGAGATGTTTTTTGTTGTTGTTATGTCGGATACATGCGGTCTTGTTGGTATGATAGGTAGTGCATAGGTATCTGGTTGATGTGGATAGAGACTTGAAGACATGTGAAAAAACGATGGTGTACTATAAGTTACTAGGTGCCTACCTAGGCACTGTATGCACAGCAAACGCTCACCTGTAGTCAGTATATAGTCGTAGTAGTAGTAGTAGTACACAGTAGGTAGAAGCCCCCAACGTTATTTTTAGGTGAGTGGAGGACGAAGCCAGAAGAGGAAATGGAATTGATTGGGGGAGACGTCTGGCGCCATCTGCCCACGCAGCACGGATCGTCAGGGCCTTGTTCGGTTTCCAAGAGTTAGGTTGAGGAAGCCCGCCGCCGCCACGGGCCCGTCCGAACGCGTTTCGTGTCACGTGTGCGGCTGTGTGCGGCTGTGTGCGGCTGTGACCTGGCTTTGGGCGGTAATAGACATGTATGCCGAATGGCTTTGTTTCCTCTTGTACGGTTTGATGTTTACTACTACTAGGTATTATGAAGTAGACAGGCGATTGCAGATGGGGAGGATGTACATACTAACACACCAGTGAAGCATCATTGGTATGTCGTTACCGACCACTCTGAACCATTTACGACACCGGCAGCAGTAAAGAAGACTAGAAGAGGCTCTCCGCTTCTTCTCCATCGGATCAATCAATCAATCAATCAGTCAATCAATCAAGCAAGCAATGCTTCAAGCGTCCAGCGGTTGAATCGCCCCACCAAGCTCGACTGGCAGCGAGGCACTGTGGGTAGTTACAGGTACAATAGACTAGAGTAGCGCTCGCTCCCCTTGGCCAGGAGTGCATGTGATCAGTGTCGCACAGCTTCAGCACCCGCCCGCTGGTCCAGCTACAGAGTTATTGCTTGGTGCGCGCAACGCTGCGACCTGTGTTGGCGGGCCCTGCTGCACACCCCATCGGTATCGTCCAGTGGTTTCGTTGTTGTAAGCTCGACGCCTGAGTCAACCTCACTCCTTTCCCCTCTCCTGCGGCTGCTGCTGCTGCTGCTGCTGCTGCTGCTGCTCCTCCTCCTCCTCTTCCCCTCCCACCGCCGCCCAGACAACCAGTTACCTAGCGGTTAGCCAGGTGCCAGAGAGGACGATACACCATTTCCCGCGCGCCGGCCGCTGCCAGACCAAGACCAAGACCAAGACCAAGACCAAACCACACCACACCACACCACACCACACCACACCCGACCGCACACCTCATCTCACCTCACTCCCCCTCACCACACGGCCACCGCCGGCCAGTGTCTCTCCTCCCACACCCACACACACACCCACACAACGGCGCGCCGCTGCCCGCTCCTCGCCATCCGCCATCCGCCATCCGCCATCCGCCATCCGCTGCCTACTGCCCTCGACTGCACGCACATGCGCCGACTCGACCACGACGCTGCCCCCGGCTACTTGCCCGTCCCGCGCCATGGAGCACTTCGACACCCTCACCATGTCGTACATGTCGACGCCCATGCCACTGCAGCCCGTGTCCAGGCCCGACCAGCAGATGGCCATGCCCATGGTGCCCATGGACCACTACGACCAGCGCTCGGCATATGACGCCGCAGAGACGTTTGCTGGGTAGGAAACCACTCCTCGCTGTGCAGCCCGCCTGCCAGAAAACATGTATCCACACATGCCTACACCCACCCATACACACCCACACACAGATGGACCCTGTACTAACACAGTGAGGCAGTAGCGAAGATGCCTTCTCCACCTACCACCTGCAACAACCCCCGCCCCACCTCAAGCGCTTCCCCACCGCCTACGAGGACCCCTTCTCCGATGTCCAGAGCGGCTACGAGCAGTCCATCCACCCACACGACCAGAATGGCATGCCCGAGAGCCCCAACATTGAGAGCAACAACAAGCTGCTCAGCTTCTCCCTCCCCGACGTGCCCTACACCATCCTCAGCTATGCGATGCAACGCGTCTCCATCTCCATGGCTGCCCAGCTCCACGGCATGTTCTTTCTCGCCGAGTCGCCCTGGGCTACTGCGAGCGATGTACAGACGCCACCAACGGAGCTGACGTGCTATCGTAGGAATCTCTTTCAGATCACTGGCACCGTCACCCTGCCGCGGAACTTGCAATACATCTTGACCGATCAGGGCGACCAACTCCCCATTCTTGGTCAAGAGCTGACCATTTCGGCCGCAGAGTCGCTGGAAGGCAACCCTGTCAAGATCATATCCGTGCCGTGGAAGACACCTGCAACAAGCACCGCGCCCATGGAGGACAAGACCGAAAAGGAACCCCCGACCTATCCTCTCGATCTCTCCACCGGCCAGGACATGGATTCGGATTATGTCAGCTTCCCCATCAGCTGGAAGCGGCTGCAGTTTCGCATTGCAACGGCGAACAACGGCCGTAGGAAGGAGCTGCAGCAGCACTTTGTCGTCCGACTCAAGGTTGTGGCGACATTGGCTACCGGCGCAAAGGTCCCCATATGCGAGATACATTCGGGAGCCATTATTGTGCGCGGCAGGAGTCCACGCAACTTCCAATCTCGAAAGGACATGCCAATCAGTGGAGGAAACGCGTCGACTCGCAAGGCCTCGCATCTCCCGCAACCGTCCAGTCGAACGCCTACGGGCGAGACCCACCAGAACAAACAAGGCCATGCACAAAACCAATCCGTAGCAACGTCGAAGCCAGTGGACATGATGCCAGTTCCTTATGACTTCAATGCCGATAACGTGCCACCCTCTCCAGATTTTCTTGATTGGAAGATGCCAGCTGGAGCCATGACGGCCATACCGCCGGATCCACCATCATCGCAGATGCACCACGTGACTCCCTATGCTCAGTCCACGCCCGAGATATCACGGAGCGTTCCACCCCAATCACAGCCCCCGCTGGCACCTGTGACGCTCTCATTGACAGACGATGAGCCCAGAAAGGCGCCGTCTCCGGCCGAGCACAACAAGAAGCGGGCCACCCCCGTACGGCCACCTTCATTCTCGATTGGGATCATCAACAGCCCAGACGAGAGTGCCGACTTGTTGTATGAGTATTTTCCGTTGGGTCTAGACGACTGGATGCCACCTGTCGATGCAGTATATCGCCCGCATGTTGTCCACCACACCAACCTTCCACAAGATCCAAAGGCACTTGCTGTTAAGAATCGGTCCAAGAGGTACTTCTCAGACGCCTGGTGAGGCCTGGTGAGGCTTTGGTTCACTTTTGCGCTTTTGCGGCCGAGCATGTTTACGCAATCTCGAGGGGTTGTCGAGGTGCGCGCGGCTTACCGTCTTTCTGCTTCATTCCACCGCACGTTGTTACGCAAACTTTTATGCCTTTTTAATGGGAGTCACCTTTTTTTCCAAACCAAGTCGGCTTTTCTGCAGGCGTTGCGACTTTGATCTGGTACGCGATTGCTACGACTGGTTATCTTTCTCCCCCGGCTTGTGTCTTTTTTTTGTTTTCTTCAGAGAAGGCCGATTTCCCTCAGATTTCCCCCCTTTTTTTGCGGACCAGGCTTGAACTGAATATAGAGAGCGGTTGCACGGCCGTCAGATACTTGTATCATACGAATATGGGCTCTGGAATGCTTGAGCTGTCTGTTGGGTCCGGATGTTGCTTGGTTGCAGGGTCGTGGAGTGTGCGTGTGCGTGTGCGTGCGTATGTGAGTGTGTGACTTATGATTGAACGAAATTTCCGCTTGCCATGTTTGCAAGATGAAGGAGGAGGACAAGAAGATGGGCAAATGCAGAATGCAGATACAAGGTGCGGGTGCTTGTCGGGATCTAATGTTTTTTTTTCCATTCTCTGACTTTTTTTTCTTGCCTTTTTTTTTTGGGGATTCCAAGACGTATGGTTTTGGCTTAGGACAGCTTTATATCCCCACCCAATTTATCCTTGTTGTTGTTGTTTTTCTTGGCCTTTTTTGAAATTGTTTGGTGTGGGTGGGGTGTGGGAGCTTGTAGTTTAGCTTGCTCCGGAAGACT